CAGTGACTAAATATACTGAAGTGCAAGCATCAACATGGCAGCTGGGCACCTAGCACTTTCTGAAGAAGAGCTTGGTAGTGGTAGCCCTCCTCATGTTTCTTTTATAAGAGGTTTCCTTTGTTGCCAGACCATTCATTTTAAAAACCATTTCACGATATTATATGTAATTTAACTTATTTTATAATGTTATTTCCCTGTAAAAGCCTCCGTTGTGTTGCCATCCCAAAGGCCTGAGATTTCTGCTGGGTGCCACTATCTTGAATGTGATTCCATCAGCCCCAGCAGACTCAGAGCTGTCACTCAAGTGACACTTTATAGCAGGGGTAAAAAAAGCTCCAGCCCTCAAGCTGTGGTGAAACTACAAATCCCAACATGCATTTGATTCTGGGAGTCATGCCTGTGACTGTCAGGGTCTTGCATTGTTTAATTGGACTTGTGGTTGCACCACTGCTGGAGGGCCAGAGTTTGCCTACCCCTGCTCTATTGTATCCTTCTTCACCCCTACCTGGCAGCTACATAAAAAGGCATGTATGGAAGTTAGGAAAGCAGTGGTACAGACAGTAACTAAATACTCACAGTATTATTATTATTATTGCATAGTATTTATATAGTGCCAACAGTTTGCGCAGCGCTTTACAATGTAAGGAAGACATTACAATTACAATATAACTTGAGACAAGATGGTAAGGAGGGCCCTGCCCCTGAGGGCTTACAATCTAAAAGAGGAGGGGGAAATGATACATGAGGAGGTAGCTGTGTGGGGATGAATTATTTGAGAATGTGATGGTTCAGTGGTTAGGTTGAGGTGGGATAGGCTACCCTGAAGAGATGAGTCTTTAGGGAACGCCTAAAGACAGTCAAGGTGGGAGATAGATGGACAGGTTGGGGTAAAGAGTTCCAGAGGATGGGAGAGACTCTAGAGAAGACAGTAGAGCCAAGGACTATTATGGGACAGGGGGGACTATGGCTGTGCTGGGGGATCAACACTTGCTGGAGAAGTGGAATCCCCTAGCAAGTTCAAATTCACATTTCAGATAAAGAAAATGTAATTTATGAAAAGAAAAAAAATGCATGAAAGCTACTTGATTTTTCTGTGATTTTACCGGTACCCTTTTGGTTGGCGACAGGGTCTCTTTAAACCTTACAGCTGTCTGCACTATGCACTTCAGTGCTTTTTTTCTTGACATTGCCAGGTTTACCGTATTTTCAGCTGAACCCATTAAACATTGCTTGCCTAATATGAACTGAATCTGCACTCAATCCCATTCATTTTATTTCTGTCTGCTTAGCCTCAACCTAGGATGCATATTTCACTTGTTCTGCAAGAAATGTCATTCTTATGCTCGCAGCTTCGAGAGAGCGATAATGAAATCGAGCAATCGAAGGAGCTTTTCTTGACAGGCAGAAATGGGGATTTAAGTTTTACATTTTAGCTATTATTAAACATGTGCTTATCCGATAGGATAATTTAAACATAATAATGCTGCAGTGTTAGGATCCCCTAAAAAACCAACAGCCCCCCAAAATTCAGCACTGAGCTGCATAAAACTAAATTACCACCACACAGGGATAATAAAAAAAATCCCAAAATAAATCTGAAGCCAAAAATGTTTGGAAAGGGAAGGCTTAGAACCCCAAAGGTTAAGAACAGCATTTCTCAGACTTGTTTCAGTCAAGGTACCCATTAAAAGTATGAAAATTCTTGAGGCACCCCAGTGTAAATGTGCAAACCGTGAATGTAAAATGGCATGTGATTCTTACAAAATCCATTCTACGCCCTTATAAGAGATACAGGTCTGGCATGGATGGAGGATCCCCAAGCAAAACACAAAAAAGTGGGATTCCCCTTCAGATCAGAGTCCTCTTAACATCACAGCCCACCTTTCACATCAGAAGCGCCTCTTCACATCAGAATCCCCCTCTTTCACATCAGGGCCTTCTTCACATCAGAGGCATGACTTTGTTTGAAAATTTGGAGGCACCCCTAAGAAAGCCAGAAGGCACACCAGGGTGCCATGAAACCCTGGTTGAGAAAGTTTGGTTTCAAAGTCCAAGAATATTTTTTTCTTTATAGAAGTCCATAGAGAACAAGCCAATGAGTTTTGGGGCTACTGGGTTCCCCCTACATTGGCTGCTAAAGAATTGCATTGGGATAAAGGATCCAGTCTTTTCCCTAACTGAATTAACCCATATGAGTTCAATTCTAACCAGAAGTTTAAGCCATTATGGGGCACCCTAATACCCCGCCCACCCCCGAAATGCGTTGGAGTGTAGTACGACTATGATGTATGAAATACTATTGAACTTTGAAATCTTTGATATGGTGCTCTTGTTTCGCTTACACCTTCCAGTGTTCACCTGAGGTGCCTTTGAGACCTTACTGTGACAAATTTGACCCATGAACATGCTATTATCATTTGGTTGAATTGTGAAATGGAAACAATATGGGAGAAAAGCAGTAATAAAACTATTTAACAGTTTATGCATTTAAAAAAAACACTTCTTTAAAGTGAGGTTCCACTTTTGCAGTCAAATTTAAAAAAAAGCATCACTGTATGTTACCATAGAAAAATTAGGAACACTCTGAGCCTCCCTCACTAACATACAATAGATCTTTAACCCCTTGTTATAAGGTTACCGATAGTCCCCTTTTCCTAGGGACGGTCCCCATATTGAGAGATCTGTCCCTGGGAAACAAATGTCCCCGGTGGCAGTGAACTGCAGTCATATACAGCAAGTTATGTACATGCTGTGATGGCTGTGTCTAGGACTCTGCGTCACTTACCCCCTGAACTCTGTCACTTACTACTGACCCCTGAACTCTGCAATCCTGCAAAACTACTGAATCCTGCTTTACTCATTACTGACCCCTGAACTCTGTGTCCCCTACTACTGACCCCTGAACCGTCAGTTACTTGCTACTGTCCCTTGAACTGTGTCACTTACTACTGGTTTTCCCTTTATTATTTTAGGAAACATTTATTTTTACCGAATTTTTTGCTAAAATATAAAAGTCAGGGTCACGTTGGGTAAATAGACACCAAACATGTCAAGCCTTAAAATTGCGCGCATGCGAAATCGCAAAAAAACACCATAGCCAAAATTGGTCAGAGGCGACGCTTTAAAAGATTTTACCACTTATCAGTTTAGTGTTATTAGTGATTGATGGCCCTAAAATTTATTGGCATAATTGGAGCAATCGTCGTTTTTGTGTGTAGGCGCATCAAACGCATTTTTAAAATTTTTTTACACTTAACTTTATTGTTATCACATAGGGTGCTAAGAAGTACCCTATGTGATAACAAATTACAGTGGCAGATCTCCTTTATGGAGACATCAAAGGTCTCTAAGACCCCTAATGTCACCTAGGGAGCCCCAGAGAAGCTGATGAAGCACAGATCTGCTTCATCAGCGCCTCTCTGGTTTCAGTACCGGAGAGTGACAGAGGAATGCGGAAGTGATGTCATATACATCACTTCCTGCATTCAGAGACCGGGAGGAGAGCGGAGGGAGATCAGGGTCCTGATCTCCCTCTGTTCTCAGTGCACAGAGAGACATCGCCTGGACCAGATGGACGCCCGGGATTGCGGGGACGGCGGCGGGGACAGCGACGGTGACCAGAGGAAAGGAGGGGGGGCGCACCCTCACTTGTATCATACAAGCGATCGGGCGTCTTTACAGACGCCGGACTGCTTCTATGTAAGGGGCGGTTTCCAATTTTAAACGGCCAGCCAGGGGGCCCGCGGGCACGGGCACGAAAGACGTCTAAAGACGCCCACCCGCATCCAGGAGACTCCCATCCGGCCATCTTTCAATGATCGGCGGACGGGAGGTGGTTAAACATTAACCTGCCCAGCCCCCCTTGCATTCCAGAGCAAAACTCAGTACATAGAATGACGTATCTCTCAGAATATGGCATGTATTGTGCAATCATCAATTTAAAAAAAATATTTGAAGCTATTATATATGAATGAGAAACATATGACAAATATAAAGTGGGTGTTATCAAAATTTGGCTGCAAACGTGGAAATACACTTAAAGTATTATCCAGGGAAGCCCAAAGAACCAACTTCTTAAAAGGAAGCTATATAATTTAATTTTAGGGAGTGCATATTTTGAGTTATTATTGCAGCATTTACCTTACAGCTGAACTCCAGGCAAACAGTTAAAATACATAAATGGGAGCTGTTTCACCTTGCACTGCCCTGCCAGTCATCACAGTCTGGTTGGTGGCCTTACTTTTATTTACTGCAGCTAAGCAAAACTGTTTGATCACCTCACTACTCTCTTCCTGTGATTAGGCAATGAAAGAGCAGTAGTGGACAAATAGCACTACTCTGCTCTCTCATCCTGGGAGCATGTTCCATATTAGCACATGTGATTTTTTCCGAGTGCATGCCTTCTCCTAGTCTATGTTCAGCTTGGCAGAAGACCAACAGAGTCTGATAGCAAGTGAGATTTGATTGAATTTGGGATTGAAAAGAGAATATTCTGTATATTCTGTTTAAAGTGAACCTGTCAGGTCCTAAAAAAGAACTAAAAATACTGCTACCCTGATGGCAAGAAGCGCCTGTGTCAATCTAAAAGTCAATGCCTCTGCTCCCATTCACATACTGGGCCTTGACTTCTGCTAAGCTCCACCCTCTGCCATTCAACAGCACAATAAGAGATTATCTACGGCCAGCTGTGGCTCTGCCATTGGACTGTTAGGTAGAGGAGGACAGGGCTTGGCACTGATTTTGGTGAAGGGTTGGGATCCATTGTAGAGTGTACCCTAGACATCCAGGGGCTCCCCAGAAGCATAGAAATTGACTGGAAGATTAAAGTATTAGACACATTTTAGGACTTTACAGAATAACTTGAAGAAATGAATCTAGCATGAAAACAGAATGATTTCATAGCACATTTGGACAGCACTGAAAACCAGGGACATTTTAAGGAGCAAATGTTTTAATCCTAGAATTAAATAAAAGCACCATGACATTTAAAAATAACTTACAGCTGCTTGCCGATGTGTATTGGAAAGAATTCCATGAATCTTGACCTTCTCTTTTTCCATTTCATCAATGTTGACCCATAAATCTCGGCTGGCTGGGTCCAATGGACCAAATATTCTGGAGGAGTAATACTTATGATCCATATCCTCCTAAAACAAACAAAAACACAGATTTATGAGGAGTGAATGTTACTGGCATGATTTCTTGGAACAAAAATTCCGGATGAAGTTACAATGAAACACATATTTGTCATAAGTAATTCTGCGAAAATCTAAACAAACCCAATCTGAATGATATTTAGTATTCACCATAACAATTACTACTGCAAACAGAAAAATGATAATTCACTAAAATGTCCCTTTAATTAATTAAAAAAAACTAACAGGGTTATTCACAAAAGGGTGAAGAATTTGGAGAAGCCAGGAGAAGTGAACAATCTAGAACCAAATAGCTGATTTGGAAAAATTCTCCAATTCAGCTCACTTTCCAGTTCAGCTATGTTGCCCTAGATCAGGGATGGCCAAACTCCGGCCCTCCAGCTGTGGTGAAACTACAAATCCCATGAAGCATCTCTCTCCGGCAGTCATGTCTGTGGCTGTGAGAATCTTGCAAAGCCTCATGGGATTCGTAGTTCCACCACAGCTGGAGTGTCGCAGTTTGGCGATCCCTGCCCTAGATTGTTCTCCTGCCTTCTCCCAACTCTTCACCCTTTTGTGAATAACCCTGTAAGTTCATACTTACAATCATACATGCAAGTGTTGTTCATTTTGTTAATTAAAAACAAAAAGAACAGCACTTAAAAAAAAAAAGTTATTAATAAACAGGCGAAAAAGCATAAAATTATATATTTGCATTTAACATATTTTATGCTTTTTATTTACCTGTAAAAGCTTCCCTTGTTTAGGAAGCCCTGAGACAGGTGCTGGGCGGTAATAGGGAATTGAATGAATAAAAAGATTTTGTTTTGAAGAAAACTTGTAGTGCTGGTGACCATTTTTTCTGTTTTGTAATAGGGAATCGACTCGTCTGATAAAGTCAAATTTGCTAGCAGGTTCAGAGCCACATTGTAAGTGAATAAAAAATAATTTATGGGAAAAAAAAACGGCAAGTAAGCATTTATAATACTTGATTTTTGTGTGCTTTCATCTGAATTTTTCTAAAGTTGGTGAAAGTGTCTCATTAAGGCATATTTCATTGTTGCAACGTGCACTATTTTTTTTTTTCATGACTGACATAGTGAAGCAATAGTAAAACTGACATGCACATAAAAGAAACATTAAACATTCATCTCATTCATACACATTTGTCAAATTCAAATTTGATCTCTTATCATTTAATTATTTTCTGATAGTAAGACGATAACCCCAGCTGATGGAATTAGGAGCGGTACCACAATGAATTCAGAGCCACCCTCTCCTTTTTAGGTCAAGACAATTTATTTATTATTAATTCTTCCTCTTAAAAGACAGCCGTCGAAATCTCATTAATTGTTCCGAGGATAATCTTCTTGAGGTTAATTAGCTTATACAGATATATAAGAAAAAGGATTTCGGGTCCAATTAACCTATTAAATAATATAACTGAAAGGCATAACGCAAAGCAATTAAACAATAAATTAAGCGTGTAAAATTTCTAAAATGCATTAAGCGAACGCAGAAGAGTTAAAACGTTTTAAGGCATTCATTTACAGAAGTAAGAGGAAAGTTCGTCCGAGGTCAGGAAAATAAACCCTTGACTCCGAACATACAGAGAATAGAGAAGAGCAGATAAGAGCAAAAAAAGCATTTACTGATTCTGTTAACATTTTTCTGATAATTCTGTTAACATTTTACTCTGTGGTGCCTGGTGATTTAACATGTGTGGATGTCTGCAGATATGGCCGCTGTTGGGTAGAATGGGTGATCAGTAGCAACCACTCTACCCGATCTCCATTGCCATACATTCACATGCTTAGCAGAGTATAACAGTAATATTAGTTAGCAACTACTATTAACCCTTTTGTCACAAAAGGTTATTGAAGCTTAGATGCAGTGTCAGTAGTCGTTAGGTATCTTGAATATGCCCTTATGACTAATATGTCAGTTTTACATGAGGGTCTAAACTAGGGATGCCCGGATAGCGATACTAGTAGCAGACATTGAAGAGGTAAAGACAAAGTGCCCTGGGCACTATGAGGAGTGAAATAATGGTGCGGCGCTTCACGGCGAATCATGTGTGCAGTCAAATTGCCCTAACAATGGGAGCCGCTGAAGATGCATGGTAAAACACACTCTGAGCCTATTCTACTAAGGGTGTAATGCACAAAGTGCAGGGATCAGGTGTGTGTAACGCATGGACTTCAGGGGTCAAGAGTGCATAAAGCAAAGAGTGCAGGGGTCAGGAGTGTGTAGCATGGAACACAGGGGTCAAGAGTGCAGAGAGCAGGAATCAGGAGTCTGTAAAACACAGTGTGCAGGGGTCTGGAGAAGGTAACACATGGCATAAAGAGGTCAGGAGCAAGAAACGCATGGAGAACAGGGGTCATGAGTAGGTAATGCATGGAGTACGGGGTTCATCGGTAGGTAAAGCATGTAGTAAAGGGGACATCAGTAGGTAACACATGGAGTACAGGGGTCATGAGTAGAGGACAATAGCAAGTAATGCTAGTTCAGAACTCACTAGTAAGTAACACAGGGTTCAGTAGTAATGTAGGGTTCAGGAGTCAGTAGTAAGTGAATCAGAGTTCATGGGTCAGTAGTACATAATGCAGGATTCAGGGTTCAGTAGTACATAACGCAGGATTCAGGGGTCAGTAGTAAGTGACACAGGGTCATAGAGGCAGCCATCACAGCATGTACAAAACAGGCTGTATATGAATGTAGTTCGCTGCCGCTAAGGACACGGCCAGTGATGTTTGTTTCCTGGGGACAGCCCTTTCAAAACAGGGACTGTCTTCAGGAAACAGGAACTAATAGTAACCTTACCCTAGTCATAAACGAGTAATTCAACCTTGCAGTGCAGAGGTTGTCCCCTGCAAGGGTAATTTTTCTACCTACCTGGCTACCATACAAATACATAATACCTGGAGGATAGTGGCTCCTCTCTCCTTTAGCCCAGAACCTATTTACAGTCCACTTATTAAGCTAAACAATTGCTGGTAAGACTCAATGTATCATTTAACTGGCCATTGCCAATATTAGTTCAGTGCAATGCTATCTGGATGCTTTGCCGAAGACGTTTCTGTTTATAGAAGGCACCCTATTGAAACAGAATTACAGGACTACATCCAAGCCAAGAGGTGTTTTCACAAAAGACAAAATGAGTTTTGAAAGTGGGACTTCTGAGAGCTGGTCGTTTGCCCAGAAGCAATTTAATATCCCTCCCGACACTTCCCAGTCTACATAATGCTGCTGTAAGCTCAATTTCCAGTGAGGGCACTCAGAAGTGCATTAACAGAGAACAAAAAATATATATTTCATTGTACTAGGTATATTAAATTTCTGCATCTTTTTTTTTATTCCTTTATGAAAATTATTCAACGGGGAATGCCAGCTGATACTTTGTTGTTTTCAAATAACATAAAAGTGCCAAAAATACTACCACTTTGTTATGTATTTGTTGTTAATAAAGTAAAGCAAAAACGTAATGAAGGATGAATAACAGACCATATGACAAATTGTTCCTCTTATTTGCCTCTTTGTAGCTGTCTAGCTGCACAACTTCATAGAAGGCCACCCCTAGAATAAGGCAGCCTGAGGCTGGTGCCCCAGGTGGCATCTCTTTGGGTCACATGGAGGGAGGTGGCAAGGAGAGGATGCCATGGTCATTCTGCCGCACAATGTTTGCAGAGTGCCTCCCGCCCAATTTCCGGATCACAGTGCCCCAGATTGCTAAGAGCCGGACGGGAAGGCCATACACATCTCCCCACCCAGCTCTTAGCAACATGGGACGCTCTGGCCTGTCCTGTCCAGCTCCTAGCAACCAGTGACATGAGGAAGCTGAGAAGGACACTAGCCAGAGCTGAAGATATAGCCCTCCCTTTTAGATTGTAAGCCCTCAGGGGCAGGGCCCTCCTTACCATCTTGTCTTGAATTTTATTGTGATTGTAATGTCTTCCTTATGTTGTAAAGTGCTGCACAAACTGTTGGCACTGTATAAATCCTGTATAATAATAATAATAGCTGGACAGTGAGATGATCCATGACTGCCCACACCTGTTAGCATGCACCACCTGCAACATCCCCCCAAAACGTGCACCACCAGCATCCTCCCCCAGCCCAGGGGGCAAATATGCTAGAGATACCCCTAACTTATTAAATGAGTGGATAGTAAATATCTACACAGATTCCTGATCTGGACTGAGCCAACTGTCTTAAAGTGTATGTAAGCGCTAACAGTGAACTTCTCTTATTTGCTTTCTTTTGGTCTATCAAATAAACTACTGAAAGTGTTTGCGATATCTTACCCGTTGAACACATATGTCGGAAGGTTAATTGGCTCCTGTCTAAATTGGCCCTGTATGTGTATATAATAGGGACCTCAGATTGCAAGCTCCTTGAGGGCAGGGACTGATGTGAATGTGTCAGCACAATATAGATACCTATAATAAATAATAAATATACATATGTAGCTATAATGAATAAATAAATAAATGTAATCATTGCCAGAAGCAATGTAGCAGTCCTTGCATTTTCCTCCACCACTGTCGCCCTAGGGTGGTACACCTCCATGAATGTCTTACAACACAGGTACTCCACTATATTTTATAGTATTATTTATATTGATGTTGCTCTAATTGGATTGAACAGAACACAGAACTTAAACACATCTACAGAGTAGAGACCACAAGTTTTACACACATTCTCATTATCCTATTTGGGAAATTTCTGACTTATAACACATAACTCTGGTCTACACTGACAGATTGTAGTGTCGGAGAGCATCCTACGAACCGATAGAATTGGCTCCTCTGAATGGAATACTGGGCTTAATGACAACTGCATCGCAGACAATGAGCTGGAGACGGAACAGAACAAAGTGTGCCCACGGTCCTAAAGAAAAACATGATTTGGACATCGCCTCCATTCTATTACTCAACTGTGTTCACAAAAACAAAACAATGTTTTGACAAAGAGCTATTTAGACAAAACATGTTAAAGTGATATTAAAG